CCCCCCCCCCCCCACCAACAGGGAGCTGGAGGGGGCAAGAAGAGCAGCTCTGCCACCCCCATTGATGGCTAGAGCCTATCTTTGACAGCTGCTGCTATGGGGGCAGGACCCAGTCCTGGCAGGTGCAGTCGTCAAGCAAAGCCCTTATTGCCCACAAATTTGGTGGGGAGTGAGGACATCATGTCTTTCCCTTGGCCCTTTCCCTGAGCTGGTGGTGGCATCAGCTAGAGGCAATCTCTCTGGCCTGGAATCAGAGGGAGCAAAAGTCCTGTCCTGGTTGTACAGCATGGCTTTGAGGTTTTGAATAAGTGCTTACTCCCATAGCACCCTACAGCACTTTGTAGCACTACAAATGGATGTATGGCCAAGACCTTATTTGGCACCCTGGATATGTCCACCCTACATTTGGGAGATGCTTACCCCCATAACACCTTTCAAGCATGTGTAGACATACCTGAGCAAGCTTGACCTGACATTTCCTGCAACCTTCCACTGTGCTCCCCCTGCCATCCTCATGTTCAATAGCCCCCCTACCCGACTAACTGCCTACACATTGGCACATCTTTACATTTCTGCAGATGCTTTCTGGCATGTTCTCCTGTTTTTGTAGTCTCTTCCACCTGTTTATTCCTATGTTTCCATGTGCCCACACCCCTCAGGCACCGCCTGATGCTCCAGCACCCATCTGGTCTCTTTTCCTAGTTTCTCTGTCCACCCAGGCTTATGCTTCCACAGCCCCTCTCCCCTCCTGAGAACATGACCTCACATTCCCTTCTCAAAGCCCACAGAGAGTCCTCTGCTCTTAGAGTCTGACATTTTAATTCCTTCCTTCATTCATTTGTTAATTAGTACAAATGGAGGTGGTAGAGGTTTAACAAGCAAATACGTATTCAGTGATGAGAGGGCTATGAAGAGTGTTTTGAGAGCAGAGTTAAATATTGCTACCCTGGTTTTACCCTCACCTTCCTCTTCCCTTTAGGACCTCCCATGGCAAAGCTGTGGCAATGCCTGGAACACAAATCAGTGCTTTTCCAACTACTCGCTCAACGATACCACCAATCTGACCAGTGCTGTGACTGAGTTCTGGGAGTACGTCTGCAGCCTATGTCAGGTTTTACCATTGCAGTGGCTGTTCTGTCTTTTGGTGCTGCTTTGAAAGTCTCTGTCAACAGCATGGATTTATTCAGCAGGCCATATGGAGAGGGTGCCCCATGGGAGATGCTCTTTCTAAATGGCAGACTCGCATGTAGTCAGATGTTCAGACAGAGCAGGGGGGATCAAAGACTTCCTCCATCCGTCCTCCTTCTTTCATCCTCTTTCTGTGTCTTAGAACACTTAAGGCCTTTGCACTCCCTGCCCATGTCTGGGCTTGCTCCTTTACCCCCTTTGTGCCCTTTGCCTGTCACCCT